TACAAACTCTGGTCATCAACTCTGGTTTTCAGTTGAAATTGGAATTGTTAATTTACACAATAATAGGATTGCATTGACGATTTTTTCTTAACTGGCAAAAATCTTCATGCAAAGTTTTTCCTCCATTTTCGCTTTTTTTTTCTCTCCAGAAGCCTCTTGATTCTAAATTCTTTTCCCAAAGATTCAGTTTTTTTAATTCTTCTCTTACCCACACATATTTGTAAAGTAAATTGTCCAGCAGAGAATGGCATAGGTAGACAGTGGAGGTGACGATAGTGCCTTGACTTGCCTCCACGCATTCTTCAACAGTCTCATGATGACGAGTAGAGTCGAGGGTGAGTCAGTGCTCAATTCGTCATCGTAACGGATGTCTTTCTCTACGGCCTCCTCCGGTGATGCCCAGAGTTCTATCACCTAGGAATTGAGTTATCGAACAATGATCGAGGATCAGGGGAACGAGGCAATGAAGGGATTCACTCACAGGATACTCCGATTTATTCTTTCCAGTGTTAATCGCGAAAATTTCCCTCACGATTTCTAGGGCTTCTCGATTTTGCCCTCTCGCCAGAAGGAATTTCGGGCTCTCGGGGTATCCGATGAGCATCAGACCCATCACGAGGGTTGGGAGGCCCATCAGCGCGAGGAAGAGCTGCCAGGATTTGTAGATAATCCCGTTGAATTGGAGGTTCACCTTCAAGGGAATTATGATCCATGCTAGACCTATTTCCCCCAGAAATTAATTGGGTTTAAACGTAATTGCTTGATTATCTCGAGAATGAGTCGGCTCAGGACAAAATGTGATAGAAACTTTTCTGTAGGAAATTAAATTCTCTACAAAAAAGCCGAACAACATTTCGCTGTAAAACCACTCATTAGAGGGGTAATTAGGACAGAATAAGGGAGAAGTCGATGAAATTAAATTCTGAGATCAATTTACCTGGAAGAATCAACCATGCGAGCGTCCAGAAGAATCCAACGTAGCAAATACTCTTGACCCGGTGTTTTGATGAGTGAAATTCCCCCAGATAAGTGTAAATTAACGAGCCCGGTGCGCCGATCCTTCTCATGAAAAAAGGTGGCAATCAAACAATTGTCTTAATCAACGGATATGATAAAAACCGTTACTCACGTGAAACCGTTGATGGCTCTGAAGGCAACGAGAACGTGAAACGTTTGGGAAAAACTGGATATAAATGTCACGATGCTGTCGATTAATAGAGTCCACACGAGAATTTTCTTGCGGCCGTACGCATCCGCTGAGACTCCCCAGAAAACAGAGCTCAGAACTCCACCTTGAGATGCAATTGAGAAGAATTGAATTCTCTATTTTTTTTTTTCATAATTAGCGAAAAGAGGAAATTATTTGAGTTGATGCCCTCTGAGATGATTGTAGTGTAGGTAATTTTCGAGTTCATGATGATGATTGAAGATATTTTGTGGAGGATTTAAGGATGTTTATTCAAAATCGCAAGTTTTCAAATAAAAATTGATTTTTTTTTCAACTGAGAGATGAAGTTATTCCCTTTATCTTGATAGAAATTTCAATCCACCAACCGATATTTATTATTTGGAAATGGAGTGGATAAAATGTACCAACCGCGCGCTTATATGGGATAGAATCATTCAAATATTTCCTCTTTTTGCTTGGGTTTTTCAAATTTTTCCCAATTTTTCTCTGGCCATTGGATTCAGTATAGTTTTGCACATTACCTTCTATTTTTATTTTCTTTTTTTTTATTTATTTTTTTTCATTCTATATTATTTTATTTTTATTTTTATTTTTATTTTATAAATTTCAACATAAATCCCATAAGAGTCCGTGCACAACAAAAATTTGTTCATTTATTTCTGGCGAGACTATTGCGATTAATTTTTTTTTAACATCAAAGAAGTTTCTATGTTCTGCTATCAGCTAAAAAAAAATTATAGAATTTTCCTTGAAAATGAAAAAATAAGATTTGCTGAAAATGGCTAAACATCCTTAATTTCCTACGAAATGTGTCGCTTGGACACTAGTTCGGGTTGACCTGGCTACAGACAACATCGGCTATTTGCCAGTATCAGGTTTTGTATGCAGGGATTTACAGAAATCATAATCCCATCAAGGCGTTTTCCATTTATCATTGGAATCTTATCTTGATTATTTTCTCAGAGCGGCAAAGGCATTTCCCAAACAGTCGAAAATTAGGGTAGATAAAGTACGGAAAATGATGCCCCGTCTCGAATTCTTCGTTTCAATATTGACATTTCTAATGGCTTTTTAGTCACTACTATAAACAACAATAGAAGCGATAAAACGGTAAATTGAATGTTGGGAAATCTCATGGAAGAATTCAACAGAAGAATCTAGTGCTTTCTATTTCTATGAGAATTCCATCGACAAATTCGACCCGTCTTCTCACATTCTTCACTAATGTTTTTCTCCGGCATAGATCTTTCAATTTTAAGAAATTTCAAATAATTTTACCAATGAGGAAGGCGACGTTGAGGAATCCCTTCTGTTCAGAAGATAAATTCAAATCGCATTCGGCTGAGGGAAGTATGTAAGCATTGACTCCATTCTGCAATGCAACACTCAGGAACATCATTCCACAAAGAAGAACGAAACCATAATGAAATTTTCCGTATCCACATAGTCTTATGGCGGTCTCGTAATCTGTCTTCTGGTCCTTTGATTTCGATTTCTCTTCTGCTGATCAATTCAGATATTTGTATCAGAGAATGGGAAAAAATAGGGAATTAATTGAATGCGGAAGTCATCTCATGCCAGTGAACGTTCTTTTCCATTTTCTTTTACATAATTTTTGAGTTATTGTTCTGAAAATTGCGTAGACTGCACTCTAATTGAATAACAATTGCTCCGATTATTCCCGCAAATTCACTATGATCTTCATCAAGGTCTTAGGAATACTCGATCTTTTTATAAAAGGATTATACCCCGTGGAAATGGAAAATTTACGTTGGGACACGTGTTGTGCATCGCTTACTGCGCGGGATATTTCGATCGAAGTGATTGGGATTGCGATCTGAAAAGTTTTTTGTGGAATTGACAGAATTATATTTGATGACACGTCTGAAATTATTTATTGCGAATTTTTTGATTGAAACAAGTTGCAAAAGTTCGCACGTTCGTTAGAAATATTTTATTTTTCTAATTTTGGAATTATCGCAGGAAAGAGTAGAGCTAGAAAAAAATCTTATGAGACATTTTTTTGGGAAATTTCACGAGCTACAAAGAAGGTCTTATGGTATTTTCCGATAAACCTACTGGTTTCCGAGATATTCCTTAAATAATACCGACACCTTATTTCAAATGTTTTTAACGAAATTCGGGAGTGATTACGAAAATGTCAAATATATCGAAAACGACGAGGTTTATGAACAAATATCATAAGATCTTTTTCATAGATCTCGAAATTTTCTATAAAAATTGGCCGTTAAAAAATGCTGTGAACCCTTTCGTTCACAAGATATTCGCGAAATAAATTCACTAAATAATTTTCAAATCACGAATTGATCGAGGAAATTCGTGAAGAAATAAAATAAATGTCTGGCATTTCCTTCCTTAAATTCGAAATAATTCCTCACAGAAAGAAAATGAAAAAAAAAATTGCGAATAAAATAGAATGAAAAAATTTAACATCAACTCACCGATCGTAAAGATAGAGATATCCCTCGAGCAATCACTGACCATTTTGTCCCTCAATGTGTCTCGACCGCGAGTTGAGACAAAAGTGATACTAATGAAGAAGGTGAACCCACCTGCGACACATTCAACTCAATTTCGTTAACGTAGGAACATGCGCAGGGTCTCATTAGTCCGCACGCAATCCTCCGATTGTCCTCCAATTCCCCCAGTAACTTCTCGATCCGAGCATCACCTAGACTCTTGTTACATCCGATGATTCTGCATGGGGAAGGGATCCCTCGGAGGAACCAATTCAGTTGCAAAATGGTAAAGCGGTTTAAGTCGACTCATCTCCCAGTTGCGTTTTTGAGTAATATTTCCGAATCTAAGGGAGATAGCGAAATTTTTATAATTACATTTGTTGTAGCTCTCAATCGGCTCCACAAAAAAGGTTATAACAAACATTTTGCTATTTCCCTTAGATTTCGCGATATTCATTGAAAACTGGTCAATAGTCAAAATTGACTTGTACCGTTTTACCACTTCGCTACTGATTCAGGAGTGATCGTCATTCCTGTGCTAGGTTTTCATTTTCGAGTCGAGACATCACTCATGCCTTTTTTGATNCAGGAGTGATCGTCATTCCTGTGCTAGGTTTTCATTTTCGAGTCGAGACATCACTCATGCCTTTTTTGATAAAGATTTTTAATAAGGATAGCAGTCTTTCGACTTTTTTAAGGAATAATTTGGCATTTCTTGAATATATACTCCCTAATTAAAATTACAATTATAATTATTTCTTCAGAACCATCGATTTATTGTAGACTGTCATGCAACAATTAGTTTTATCCGTATGATACGGACAAAATAATATTTTTAGTGGTTTCCTCTGTGGAAGCAAATGAGGGCAGTTCCAAGATTTTCTCAAAAAATTTTATTTAAATATTGCTCAATAAATATTGGTTGGCGGCGAGATCAACATTTTTTTGTTTCAAGATCATCTTGGGCGTTTCATGAATATATGAGAAGGGAAGAAAACTTGAAAACAATTTTGCAACGGGTCCTCTGTTGGAACAAAGGGAGTGAACTTCGCGTATCTCTCCAAAAAATTGATGAAAAATACTTTAACTTTTCTCCTCTCATTTCCAATCTCATCATTAATTAATTTTTTCTGCAGTCTTTCTGGTTCTGTATCTTTTGGGTCGGTTTAAACATACGGGGCTGTCATTAATTTCCATCCCATGCCCTCGAGGTGAATTGCACGACGGAGAACACGTGAATTTTCGGAATGAAAGAAAAATCGTTGAGGAATTGTTCCCCTTTGTGGCATTCTCTCATTGCCTGACGTTTCTGCATGTATTTTTTATCGCTGGGAATTGTCATCAAGTGACATAACGAAGGAGCACTAGTTGGTCGGAGAATAAAATAGTTCATTTTGAGATTTTTGAAATTGGGATGATGGAAATTTGGGGAAAATCGAGAATATTTTTGCAGGGAAGGGATTTAGGCAAATTATCACACGCTGCGTGTAGTAGTGCGAATAGCCACGGCGTTGTTTTTTTTCTCGGGGTACATGGGGAAGGAGAGTATTCACTCATTAGCTACATTAGTTAAAGTATCAGAGTGGTAATCTGAAGGTTATGGGTTCGAATTCCGTCGCGGGCATTGCCCTTGATTCATACTGTCTTTCAATAATATATTGAAATAATAAAATTTTTTGTTCCATTCAGTGGCTGTTGTTTCGTGGTTGAATGAACGTCAGACCAAATTTTTTTTGCATCTTTTTTAGTGGACATAACGCTGGATCCGCTGTGTCGATTCTAAAAAACCTGGAATCGTTTTGAAGCATCTCTCATGTTCTTTGAAATAGGCTCTTACGTGTTCAGGTCCCATCATTTAAATACCTCAGGATGAATTTTGAAAGAATGTCGAAGGACTTTTTCGCCGGAAATTAAATTCTCTAAAAAAAAGTATACATTTTTATCTGCATCCATTTGTTTTGGACGAAATTGTAGAATTTACAAGTTTCATTCCACATTCTCCTCTGAATTCTCCACATTGATGAAAAAAAAACCTAAAAATAATACAGCAACGTGGTGTCCTCTGTTGAATTAACAAAGGTGGGACGACCAATCGATTTTCCAGGCTTTGACCTACGAATTGCTGATCAAATTTATGTAACAATCAGCATTGAGTCACTCAGACGTTTCAATTGGCATCGACAGTCCTGAATTCTGTATTTACCTTTTTCCTCCCCTGTAATTTTGTGTCATGAACGTTCATCAACCGTTCGAATCCACAACTTGGGGAATGATATTATGAAAATGAATTAATTCGAAATGTTAAACTTGACAGATCCCCACAGAATCACTTTAATAATTTAAATATGATCTCGTCGAACGAGAATATGATATTGCGATCAGGTACAAGACATCATACAATTGTATCATCGATTCGGAGATTATTATTCACGTACGATGCTCATCCACTTGACAATTCAGTGATAAAGTGACAATTTAGTCGTTAAATTTTTTCTAATTTCGGAATTATCTCGGTAATGAGAGATTTTAGAGGAAAATGTAATGAAAACATTTTTGTGGAGAATTGAATTTCCTACAAAAAATGTCGACTGACATTTTGACCTAAACCCACTCCTCACTGAGATAATCCCATAATTAGACTAGAAACGTTTTTTCATCACTTTCACAACAAAATTATTTACGTATTTACAGTCTACAGTGGCATAATCACAAGCAATCGATCGAATAATCATTATCACTGACTCCTCGTTCGTAATTAATCTAGTTGGAATTGTCAGCGAGATATACCGATCTTGCAATTGAACAATTACCTCGTGCACCAATAATCATCAATAATTCAATGATCAACTTGTGTCGTTCGTTCTTGACTTTTTTAAAGCAATGTTCTTGTCTCTTTTTATCAAAAGAAATTAACTAGTGATTTTAATTGAATTCTTTTACGAAGCGTTCACTGCTGGTCCCAGCCGGCTGTGCTTTAGGGGCGCAAATGGCGTTACGTTACGAATTTCTGGCTCTAGACAGTTGACGTAGACATCGGTTGTCAGCTCGTGGTTGTCTATTTCTTTGTCAGCCTTTGCGTATTTCACTCCTTCATCGATCTCTTTCCTTATTTCTGCTTCCATCGTCTGAACATTAATAAATCAAGGAATTTATCATCAATTTAATTGAACAATATCATTATTTTCAAGATTTCGTAATTTTTTCGTGTTGAAAAGGTCGATTATCTCGATAACTAGTAGTTTTAGAGAGAAATGTGAGAAGAAAGTTTTTGTAGAGAATTAAATTCTGCAGAAAAAAGGTTTCTACTAAAATTTTGGTATCCCCCATAGATCTTGAGTTATTCTTCAAGAAGTCATTGACAAAAATTTCCAGAATTTCTTCTTGAGTAATTTTATTGGATTAATTACCTTTAATTCATCGGCAGTGACGAGATTGGCGTTGAGAATTTTTTCCTTGAAACTAGTGAGTGGATCACGAGTCTGTCGAACCTCCTGAATTTCTTCCCTAGTTCTGTAACTAGTGCCAGGATCAGACATACTGTGTCCACTGTATCTGTAGGTGACAGTTTCCATGACGAGAGGGCCTTTGCCAGCTCTGCAGTAAGCCAGAGCAAATCTGGTGGCTTCCCTGACGGCTAGGACATCCATACCATCGACCTAAAGACGAACAAAATAATTAAAATCATTTGAATGATGAATTTTATTATTTAAATGATCAATTAATCATTTTTAATTGATTTTTACCCAAATTCCGGGAACGTAATCTCCACGAGTATAGTACTCTGTGCTTGCTGCAGCCCTGTCAGCACTGGTGCCCATTCCATACCCATTATTTTCACACACAAAGATAGCCGGTACATCCCACAATTTACTCATGTTGTAGACCTCGAAAATCTGTCCCTGATTGGCAGCTCCATCGCCATAAAGGGCTAGACAAACTCCACCGTCTTTCTTGTACTTGTGGGCAAAGCCTATGCCAGCACCCAGGGGCACCTAAACCAATTGATTAATTAGTAATCATGAGTGTAGCTAATTCAGTAGCGAAGTGGTCAAATGGTTTAAGTCAATTTTAGCTATGAAAATCAAAAATCAAAAATCAAAAATATTTTTTTCAATGAATATCTCGAAATCTAAGGAAGATGGCAAAATTTTTCTCAGAACCTTTTTAGTGGCACTCAATTCCCTCTACAAAAAAGGTTATAATGAAAATTTCTCTATCTCCTTCTAATTCGGAAATATTTCTGGAAAACTCAGCTAAAGATTAAATCGACTTGAACCGTTTGACCACTTCGCTACTGAATTAATAATTGGTGAATTAGTGAATTCATCTCATCAATTTATTCACTCGACAGACAAAAATGAATTCATTTTGATCGTCAATGAAACGAATTGTTGTTGATTTCGATGATTAATCCCAGACGAACCTGTGCACCAACGATTCCATTTCCTCCGTAGAAATTCTTGGCGTACATGTGCATAGAGCCACCTTTTCCCCTGGCATTTCCACTCTGTCGGCCAGTCAATTCAGCTAAAACTCCGACAGGGGGAATTCCCATGAGATATGTCCAGCCGTGGGCTCTGTAGGCGGTGATTACAGAGTCCTGGGGCTTCAGGGCTGCTGACATTCCCACTGCACAAGCTTCCTACAGGATAATTACATGAAATAGTAATTAAATTGTTTTGCAGACACGTGGAAAAATTTAATCTGAAGCCCTAAAACTTTCCTGGGAATTCTATTGAAGGAGAGAGACAACAGAGTTTGATTTTTCTGTTGAATTTTTCTATTTATAAAACCCTTGGGCATAAATTTTTCAACATTTTTCGCTTTATTTTTATTTTATTTTCATAATAAAATCGTAGAAAAAAGTTGAACCTTCGGTGGACCCATTCTTATAGAAAAACATTCAACAGAGTGTTTTTATATTTATAAAATGGCTATTCAAAAATGTTTAATAGAATTTTAATCGAACTCCGTCAGAAAATCAATAGAATTCTTTTGACAAAGTGCTATGTTTGCGAATTAATTTACCTGTCCGGAATAAAGATGACAGAATCCTCGGATGATCTTCTCCTTGTAAAGATTGCCAGCAGCAGTCTCCATTCGTCTGATGGTGTGTAGTTTCTTGTAGAGGTCGAGGGCCTCTTCCCTAGTGCAAGATACTTGAGTCGATGGGCCAGAGTCCAATTTATGAAGTCTGTAGGGCTTTGTCTCGAAAGAGGCCTCTGTTGCATATCCATTTTTGCCACTCGAGAACGCCGAGAACACCTTAATGACGATTTTTCAAAGAATTATTAACTATTGCGATGTATTCTACATCTCAATGGGTGCCAACGGTACAATGCAGTTGTTGTCTAAGCAATGTGATGTGATTTGCATGGATAAATAATTGAAACTCTTGATTTTCGAGTGGGAAATGCAATTATTTTCTTCTTAAATCCCCAATAACTAATTTTTTTAATGGACTGGGAGTCAATTTATTGCAGTGTAAAAATAATTGTGAGCACTAATGCCCTAAGTTCCTATTAAATTTAAATTTAATACGTTAATTTAGCATCTGTAAATGCAGTAATTTTTTGTTTTAATGAATTCAGTGGATAATGAAGGGTTTTAGAGAAAAATATCAAAAGATATTTTTTTATGCGACAGTATCTTCTGAAATTCTCCCGTGAAACTACTAATTTTCCGGATAACTCCATTATTAGCAAATTAATTTAAAAGAATTTTTTTTCATTATGCAATCATTTTAGGAAGGAGTCAAATCATAGAAAAAATAACTTTTGACAGTTATTATTTAATTACTAGTTTTATAAATTAATAAATTATAAATTGGTATTAATAATTATCTGGAAGTATAAATAATAGTAATTTATAATTGAATTAATTTGACAGTACTATGTATTCCCACTCAAATAAAAAATTTGACAAACTGAAGAATAACTTGAAAAAATAGAAAAATAAATGTTTCACTACATCGAGGCATATTTACCTCTTTCCATGTAGCGTACTAGTCGTAGCCAAGTACAAGGGACAAATGCATTCGACAGTACCCATGAAAAATAAATGGAGAAAAACAATTTTTGAGTTTTTGAATGTCACAAATATAATTAGAAAATAGTGCCTTGTCGAAGGTCACCCATAGAGACATAATGACGATCGACACATTGTTAGTTAATTGAAGTGATTGTTTTCGCGGTAAATTGAAGGAATTTTTACTCACGTTACGTCGTGAGGCCTCTTGGCCAATTTTTCTCATGCAATTAGCCATCATTTTGGTGATAGGTCAGTTGAAAAATTGAATAATCTCGTCAGATGGTGAGATTCTCGGCTGACCAATGGCACGAGTAAATGTAGGTTACGAGAATTTCTGGGATTTAAGGTTCTCAAGAATGACGTGCATCAGTAAATGGCGCTGTCACGAGATTATGAATGAGTTCAGTGGTGAAATGGCAAAACAGAGTGTTGATGGTATTGGTTTTTTGTGAATATCTGGACAAATACGGGAGTTAGAGAAAAATTGATAATGAACTTTTTTATAGCGCATGAAATTTTCTACAAAAAATGGTCCCATTATTTTTTCGCTATCTCCCTTAGGTTCCGAGATATTCGGGGAAAAGGATATCATCCTGTTTTACCATTTCACTACTAGATTTTTTTACCAACTCTTGTTCATCAATCGCGATAAATGAAGGGGGTGGGGCCGTTTGTACAATCTTAGATGGACACATTCCGTTTGAGGCACGTTCTAGGGAAAATGGTGACAGTATGGAAGGCGGTGGAACAGATGGGCACGGAAATTTGTGGTCACATTCGCGGAGGGGCAGATTCTGATGAGGTGGTTAAAAGGGGCTCGATATTGCCGATGTCTTTTGAAAACGGCATACCAACCGAATTTTCTAGTGCAGGGGTCTGTTGAGAGATGGCGGGATTATTCTCATCTCAAGCGAAATTACAAATTGAATCGAACTAGAGCAATAGGTTGTCAGCCGGAAAATATTATTCATAAACAAATGACGATTGTAAAATACTTGTAATTCGTTAATAGATGAATGTAATGCATTTTTCAGTGTTTAAGGATTACACAATTAATTAGTAAAAAAATTGAGCCGTCCATCTGCCTATACGGAACCCAAATTTCCTCAGGAATCGA